TAGGACACTCTGTACTCTAGAACGCTGTTGTTTGAATATCTTTGTATGCTGTTTATGTTTCCAGCAGCATCCGTTTTATTTTTACCACGGCCACTGGCTTTGCAGCACAATGGAGAGAGACATGGGATATCATTGAGCTTTGGGCAATAATATTTGAAGGCTTCAGGCAGTTTCTCTTTGTTGACTGTACAAATTATTCATGATCTTGATATAAAGCAATGAAACTAAATGGTTAGTTGTGATGCTAATTCAAACAATAATTGGTAAACTTTCATTTAAAATCGATAAGGCACTGAGATACCTGAAAACACAATATTACAGTTAGTTCTCTTTAGAGTTTGTGAAGCAAACCTAAAGGCTTGATATGTTGATATTAAAGAGAATTTGAGAAACATCTGCAGAATGTTCAAATGGTTCTGGTGTGGTTTTGATGTGTTACCTGCCTGGCAACACAAAATGCCTCCAGGAGACTGATTTCGACCTATAGAGCAAAATATGAAGAATATTACATCAATATATCATTTTTTTAATGCCTGGACTGTTACACTGCTTCATATGTAACTTTTTTTTTTCCAGCTTTTTAAAAGCAATATTTTATTTGATATTATTGGTTATATTGTTCTTGTCCTGTGTCTCTAAGCTGGCATCATGCTGTTTGAAATGGAGTGGTTAATTAGATTAAATGCTGAATGATTGACAGCATCATGATCGTTAGACTCTTTGGCTTATGGTGTTTTTAAGAGAAATATGTTTTTCCAGATTTGGATTGTCTCTTTTAATTTCTGCAAAGCCTGACGGGTGAAACTAATCACTTTTAAGCTTTGTCAGTAGCAATGAGAATACTTTAAATAGCCTATATTACAATATCTAGAAAGTCTTGAAGATTGATGACAGTAAACATGTATGGTTTCCTTAGTCTGGCTACATGGCCAAATACAGTATATGACATTATAGTGTTTAGTTCAGTTAAATTGTCAATATTTCTTAAGCAAATTGGCTCATCTTGTCAATTTATTACTTTAAAGGACCGAGCATAAGCTCATAGTTTCTATCTCTTTAGCTCAGTGTTGACAGCATTTACTATGAGACGTTGTATTCAGGAAGGTAGTTTGCTGTAAAACTGTTGGTTTTTCCTTGTACGACCTCTTCACAGCAATGAACACTGGAAATGTTTCCTAACCTGTTTTACAGTAAAATTTACCCAGTTTTAAGTGGAATTTTGTCTTGAGTCTTTCTTTCACCTGAACATGATTTATCTCCCTCAATGTGAGCAGTTATATCCAGAAGGAAAACGGAGAAATAAAAATGGGTGATATTTACTGAGATTTGCCCTTTTCTCAATCTATCCGTGATGATCTCTAAATGCACAACACATCCTGTGACTCTACCTAGGATAAGTGGTTTGGAGTATGGATGGATAGACCCGTACACACATGCTCATACATTCACACACACACACTCCGAATGGAAGTAGCCTGGGCTGACAGCAAATAGTCCAGGGGAATCGTAGTCCTTATCTCATGAGCAAAAGGGTCTGGTATGAGTGTGAGTAATAGAAAAACGCTTGTGGTGAGATTCCCTGTGGAACAGAACAGAAAGCCTGACACAAAGCCACTGGGAAAGGTTACCATGTGCTTTCATTAGATGATGGACAAACCGCTGTACAGCATTGAGCTAATCTAGACCAACCTCCCTCTGTCTCTTTCTTTTTAGTCCTCTCTCTCTCTTTCACTCCTTTTCTTTTCAGTTTTCTGTTTCCAATAGTGACCCGTAGAGCTGCAGAGGCCACTCTGCCAAATCTCTTGACATAATCACAGCTTGCACTGTTTAATTGGTGCTGCTGCGCTGGAGTTGAGAAACTGATGGTCTCGGGAGACTTTTGGTTCGTTAAAAATGAGTCAGACAAACTCATCAGCTCCACAAAAGCGTTCTGTGATTCAATCGGAAAAAATAAACAAGTGTAATTAAGAACATTATCATCAATATGTATAAGCAATTGCCTTACAAAAAGAAAAGGAGAGAGCGAATGCTCTACTTTTTTTGCTGGAAAAGCAGTTTGATTCTGTGTGAGGGCATTGAGGAGGGAGAGAAGAGGGGGAGCGATCAATCTCCAACCAACACAAGCACGTACAGGCTGCCAGAGAGAAACAGAATGCGTTCTCTGGGACTTACTGGTGTTTGCCCCACATATACCAAGGACACAATGCCACTTAGTCTCTGTCTTGTCATTACACGAAACCCAAATACCTTACAGGAATCTGTAATGCATCGCATCTGCTAATGCATAGTTGACCACCCACTGCTTTTATGCAGTTATTGATCATTATGGAAAAGGAGTCTGAAAAGTGTTTTGAATGTAAACATGTCTGATGCTTTGTGACTGACAGTGCATCTTGACGTGCCTCGAGTGTTATGTAATGTCCTATTAAAACAAGTGAAATCAAGGGCAAGTCAATAATAATCAACCTTCATTTTACTGAGGGAATAATTTTGTAACTATTTTCCATTCATTTTCCTTTTTCAGTTCCTCTGGCCTAATCAAAATGCAGTAGGCAGAACTTATTGAAGCTGCACTCTTGTGTTTTTCCAAAAAGTAGACAAGAAAATGTGACTTTTCTAGAAACATTGTGTTAGTTTGACACAGGGAAAAAAAATTATACATTCATGACTCATGTGGTTAGGAAAAATCATAAAGTGTCAGCATACTTGATCCAACCTAAAGCAATGCTGTGCTTCTCCAAGCTAATTCTCTTGCTAAATTGCCTCGGGTTCTCTAAAAACCACAAAGATAAAAAAAGGATTGTATTTTTGTAATGGTCAGAGTAAACGTTTAAATAATACTGTACAGTGCACACTGGGAGGTCTAGGGCAAAGATAGTTAAAGAAAATGAGTCAGTGAGAAGAGGGAACATTAGATTAATGAAGCACTCTGCTCTTATTACTGCTATATTTCTCTTACTGTCAACTATCCATTTCAAACTCTGGCTTTGACAGGTGGAAATCCTGTGCTCAGAATCTTAGATTTACCTTTCCTTTATGGGGAAGTCGTGGCCTAATGGTTAGAGAGTCGGACTCGTAACCCAAAGGTTGTGGGTTCGAGTCTCGCACCGGCAGGGATTGTAGGTGGGGGGAGTGAATGTACAGCGCTCTCTCCCACCTTCAATACCACGACTGAGGTGCCCTTGAACAAGTCACCGAACCCCCAACTGCTCCCAGGGCGCCGCAGCAAAAAATGGCTGCCCACTGCTCCGGGTGTGTGTTCACGGTGTGTGTGTGTTCTAGGGATGTGCGGTATATCGGTACTGGAAAAATACCGGTATATATTATATTTCAAACGGTACGATATCATCATTTTGCTCAATTCGGTATTTCATTCGCTGCTGTTCCAAAGTTCACCACTATGTGGCAGTGTTACCCAAACTGACGCGAAACCGGCAAGCATGACAACGGAGAAACGACAATGGATAAAACAGGTGAAACTCACTCTACACGTCCGAAATGAATAAATAAAGAAAGCGGTAGAAGTGAAATATGGCTAGTATCGTACCGAAGTCAAAATTGTGTATCGAGCCATCCCTAGTGTGTTCACTGCTGTGTGTGTGCACTTTGGATGGGTTAAATGCAGAGCACTAATTCTGAGTATGGGTCACCATACTTGGCCACATGTCACGTCACTTTTGTCTGAATTTTCCCATACCCCATGCCTGCACTCTAACATAAGGGTTAACTGAAAGTCTCAGATGTTTGCAGCTTGAAGGTTAATTGGACTGAACTCAGATATAAACCATGAAGATCATCCAGGCTTAGACAGCAGCAGATGCAACAGAGGAGTGGAGTGTAGACAAGGAGGGCAGCTGAGTTTTGTTGGGTTATGGCACTAACATGCTGCAGTGCAGTGGACTGTAACCTATTGTAATCAGTAGGAAAGTGACCAAATCCAAGCTGAGGAAAAGCTTCATGACTTTTCCAATTGCATACAGCAATCACTGCTTGACACTCACTCACAGAAGAGAGAGAGGCAACATTGCGTCATCTACTTCTAGTTGGGTTATTAGGCGTGACTGGCTTGGGCATCTTGGTGTCTAAAGTGATTAGGGGAATGTGTGCTGATGGGAGAAGGGAGTTATCGGGTGCATTGCCCCAGTGCATCCATCATGATTATGTGGAACTAGAGAATGCTCCACCCCGATCTGCTTCACTGACTGATAATAATAATGCCGTGTTGCCACAGGTGATTGTGGAGGCTAGTGTGTAGATAGAAAAGCTCCACTGAGATTTTTCATGTGTTGCTGTTATATAACATGTTCTCATTTTGTTTTACATTATATGACTATGTGAACCATTGTGATGTCTTTGCACATCGATAATGAACTAAACTGATGACAATCTTGGTTACTTGCCGTGCCAGCTCTCTTATTGTAGCCTTACTTTTAGAGAGATATAAGATTAACAATTGCTACAAAGAAGACGACCTAGTGAATTTTGTTGAATTTGGATATGAGGCATTCCAAGAGTACTGATTTTTTATAATCTTTTCACTCTGTTTGTGTGATCTCAACAGGATGTCAGTCTACTTTTAGAGTTTTCAGCAATTATTTTTGAAGGTTATATCGGTACACCAGTAGGTGGCATCATTGAATAATTGAATCAAGAATTCATCCAATTATCACGGAGTCACCAGCTGCATCCAAAAACACTAAAATATTCCAAGGCAGGAAGGTATCAAGGCACGTCCGAATCCAAATTCTGCTTTACTTCCTGTCTCCGGAGGTACCTTCTTCTGATCGCAGAATTTTGAAGGCAGCATAGATGTATCCTTCGCTGCCTTTGATATCCCACAATCCTGTGCGTACCATTCCGTGACGGTTGAGCTGAAAAAATAAAGATGGCGTCTGAAAGTTGCGTTTTGCCAGATCCTTCAGCCCCACCCACTCGTTCACCAAAGTTCTGATTCTCCTCACCTGTCTGCACTAATCTACCACAGTATAAAGCCACCTTCCTGTCACCACCTCCTCAGTGTCTGGTCTTGTTGTTACTTCTTGAATCAACTTACCTGCTCTGCTCTACAATCCCTTCATCTTCAGTCATCTGTTCAGCATTCTGGATTCCCCATGAACCTGCAAATCAAGGACAGTGTTACTGCTCAGGTAAGTCTCAGCTAGAGTTACTGAACTATTATCACTTACGTCTTACCTCACTTACTTGCCTCTCAATAAAGCTCTGTGGATATTTACCGGTGTTGTCTCCTTCTGTGTGCTGACTGAAGACCAGACCCAACATGCAAAACAACGCAGAGCCAAGCAGCACTCCGAGACCAGATCCAATTGCTGAGCTTGCACAGGCCATCAATCAGTCTCTTTAGCCACTCTCTACCACCGTTTCACAATCTGCCTCCACCAGTCCCATGGCCCATCCGACGAAGTACTCTGGTAAGGTGGAAGAATGCAGCAGATTCCTGCTCCAATGCTCGCATCTTATAATCTCTGTCTTTAGGATGCAGCTCTCTCCAAATATCCACCAGGCCAAGGTTCTTACAAGTATTATGCAAAATATGTTAGGATTTACAACAAATTAAAACGTGGGGTGAGGATTTCTCTAGATTTCCATCAAGGACACAATTGGAGTCACCTCCTAAAAATCTAATGTTCTTGCAATGCTGATTAAACTTTAGGATCACGTACGACAAAGTTATGGCAATTTGGAGCATATGCATTCCCTACAGTGATGTGTCTTCCAAGAATGAAACCAGAAATGGACAAATCTTCAGAATCATATTCTGCAGGCTTGAGGAGAAATTTAATGTTTTTTATGAATAGGAATTGCAGTGTCCCTGACTCCCTGCTATTTGATGTAAATGAGGAAAAATAAATCTTACCAACCCAATGTTTTTTCAACTTTGTTCCTTATCAGATAAATGAGTTTCCTGTAATGCAATAGCTATTTTTTTTTTACATTTATTTTTAAGAAACGTTAATTCCCCCCACAATGAACAAGTGAATCTTTCCATCGTGCAGACACCTGAGCCTGGCCAGGTAAACAAATTATCCGATACAGACCGCAGGCGGCCAGAGTTTTACCCATGGTCGCGAACTCGCAGGCCGTTTCTGCAGCAGACCAGCTGACAAATCCGAGTAGAATTGGCGCTCTGAGCCATTGTGAGTGACTATCTTCTTCAGAGCCATTTTCAGAATTACTACTTTATCAGTGAACCATAGAAATGGAACTAAAATACTTCTCTGAGCTGAATTCGGACTATTAGAAGCGACGGTGGGAGATCTGTGGACCCTCTCAGCAGGCAGATCTAACCACTTAGATGTCTCACAGGAATGCTGAGAGTGGGCCGGAACCCTCAGCTTTCTCTGGCAGACCCACTATTTTCAGATTCCCTCCAGACGGCTAGTAATTCCATCTAGGTGTGACTCGTTGGCTCAAGTGACTTTCTTTGAGTGACTCATTGAATAATTAATCCGACTGATTTGTTCGCACTGCTGTTGCTCGAGAATGCAATTTAAAGTTGAGTTAACTGTTCAGGTTTAATGAGATTTAATTTAATGTTTATTTTTCTTACTGGGTTGATACCGGCCAACTCTAAAACAGCCAAGTTGTAAAATGAGCGTACTTTGTTTTCAGTCATGTCACATTAAATAGGCCGGTCTATGGATTACCAAAAATAATTTCAACTTGTACCTCAGTTTAACTCGTACCAACATGCTGAAAAAAAATGCACTTGCAATTATATTATATGGAGCAATATTTGCACCGCAGTCTTCCTTTGAAAGTGCGTAACTTGAAATGTTCATTGAAAGCTGTGTAAACTATTTGGCTTCTATGGCACCAAACGAAATTTCAAAAATATTGACGTTTCCAGATTTTTTCCCCACAGGCTGTCCCAAACTTATACCCTTTTTTTTTTTTTTTTTTTTACTGACAATCACATGCAGGCTGCTGTCAGATTCTTTTATGCGGTTTACAGACTCAAGAGCTTCAGGCTGTCACTGAGACATGGTGTTATTTCTCAGGACATTTGTGTCAGTGATATTTGTCAGGTTGTAGTGACATTTTTATGTATGATATTCTAAAATAATCACAGCTTTAACTTCAGTGTTTTATCCCAAACACCATTTGAGTCATTTGAGATGTCTGCATAGACAATTGTTTTGTTGTTGCTTACCAATATGGATTACACAGCAAGTGGTTCAGTTATTAACCTAGTTAATCAGAAAAAATATCAAATCAAACTTCTGTTTGACTCGCCCTCCTAAGTTTTGTTCATTTATCCATGATGCACTTGTTTTTTGTCATCAGCTGATGCTATCATGCTACTGATTGGTCTAATTTAGCTAATCAGACTGCAGTAATGGCTCTCAATTTTGAGATGCTGTCTTCTCATTTATCTGTGGATGGCGTCTCAACATCAGAGCGTCCTCAGTTTCTCTGAGTGTTGAACATTTCTAATGTAGGTCTACAAACTCCATAACGAGACTTTTTATAAGTAAAGGGCACTTTGTCAAATGTTGTGCATTTACAGTAATACTAAATCAGCTTTATTAATTAACATGCTCATTAACCAAAAATGTTTGGAAGATGATTACTAGATGTGAAAATACGTTTTGTTGGCAACTATAGGAATAAATCATTTAATGGATTAAACTGCTGAATAGAATGTTACATAAGTGGTATTTGACCTAAATAACACTGGTTGTACTATTTTGTGTTCCTGCAGCGCATGTACTTGTCTTCAACACAGTCGTTCAGCAAGCTGAGTAATAGGTTATTTGCCGTGGCCTCGTGCTAAAACGTGTATCTTCCTGACAGAGAACACTGAAACGATAGGCTTGACCAGCAGGAACGTCATGTCCTGATGTTGTGTAGCACGGCGTTCAGGTTTATTGTCATCGCTTCACACTCCTGCACTTGTCTCAGCGGGAGAGCCATGTCTTTCCACACCAGGCCGTGAGTGTGATCGAGACCCTGACGGAGCGCTAGCAAATGCTGAGAGGTGTTTTATTGTAGTTTTAGTGCTGAGAGTGGCTGTTTTGCGAGTAGCTGCTCTGTGTAAAGATGAAAGTTTACCGAAACTCCAATTTCAAAGAGTGTCAGGCAGCTTTTAATTGAAGGCTGAATATCTATTATTTAGAAATGGACATGTTCCAAGAGAACTTTATTATTAAATTTTGGTTATTCAGAAATAAAAATGTTTTTGTTATATCAAATTATACAAACATTTAGCCAATTAGACACTGTATTGTTTGGCCTTACTGACTTTCTTACACTAATGCAACAAAGATTCAAATCTAAAGGTGTGTGTGTGTGGGTCCGCTCCGCCACACCTCGATCTCGCCCCGAGTGGGTCTCGAACCCGGGTCTCCGGCATGGGAGGCGGACGCACTAACAAGGAGGCTAAATGACTGCTGCCATTATCGTGTCTCATGAGATCAGGTGAGTGAGGTTTACCTTGCACAGCACATACTCGCTGGCCTCCGTTACATAGACTTCATTTTAAGTTCAGTTTTCATCTGCATTTATAAGGAAGAATATCTGTAAAAAAAAAAATGAGAAAAAGCCTTTTTAGACAAGTACAATACTTTTCATACTGTATCATATCTGTTTTCTACACTGATATTAAGAAGAAATGTTTCTTTGCATATTAGAATGATAGAAGGATCATGTACGGTGGCCGAAAAGTGCGAAGCAAATCACAATTCTGAAAACAAAATAACAATTCAGAAAGCACAACAAGTCAGAAAACACAACGACAAATCAGACAAACCGGAAAAGGTAGGTATAGTTTGAGACAGCGCCATTGGTTTGGGATTACTCACAGCTGACTGGACGAGACATCTGTAAATCAACGTATACAAGGAAGAACCAGCCGAAGAACAGCAGAGTCGTGGTAGAAAGTTCGGAGATGGTATTAAAGTAGCTCAGTTTAAATGTATTGTATGAATTGCCCTTAATATGGAATAAAAAATACGGGGTGTCTATTTACATTTAGTTAAAAGTGACTGTAAATCACCAGCTCCAGTAGTGCAGATGGATAAGTGCGTGGGCTTGGCTTTTTGACGCGATCGATCCCGCCTTTTTGCCGAACTTTTTTTCCCTCCCTTTTCAAATCTCGTATTAGCAATGTGTGTGTGTTTACACTAAGTGAAAATAGCAGTATTTTTAGCAATATGCTATTTACACTGTTAAAATAGCAGGATTTCTACTATCAAGTATACTACTTGTTGGAAATAGTGGCAATTATCTGCACTTCAGTATTGTAGTACAGTATGCACTAACGTATTGAGTGTAAATTATAATTTTAATTATTAAATGGATGCCACCTTATTGGTACAATAAAGCCCTCTCCACACCTACCCTAACCCTACCCGATACTTTATTTTCAACTTTTTGATTATTTCCTTAATTTTTATTGAAAATAAATGCCTTTACGATGTGATAAGAGATTTGAAAAGGGAGAGAAAAAAAAAAGTTCGGCAAAAGGCGTGATCGAACCCGGGTCAACCGCGTCAAAAAGCCAACGACACGCACCTATCCATCTGCGCCACTGGAGCTGACGTGTAACAGCCACTAAATGTAAATAGACACCCCGTATTTTTTATTCCAGAGTAAGGGCAATTCATACAATACATTTAAACTGAGCTACTTTAATACCATCTCCGAACTTTCTACCACGATTCTGCTGTTCTTCGGCTGGTTCTTCCTGTATACGTTGATTGACAGATGTCTCGTCCAGTCAGCGGTGAGTAATCCCAAACCAATGGCGCTGTCTCAAACTATACCTACCTCTTCCGGTTTGTCTGATTTGTCGTTGTGTTTTCTGACTTGTTGTGCTTTCTGAATTGTTATTGTTTTTTAGACTTTCATTTGCGTTTGTAACTTATTTTGTTTTCAGAATTGTGATTTGCTTCGCACTTCTCGGCCACCGTAATCATGTGACACTGAAGACTGGAAAAATAGCTGCTGAAAATTCAGCTTTGTCATCACATGAATAAATAAAAATATTAAACATTAACATAGAAAACATTTATTCAAAATTGTAATAGTATTTCACAATATTACTGTTTTTAACAAATGCAGCCTTGGTGAGCATACGACACTTTTTAAAAATCTTATACTGGCAATTTTGAACAGTAATGTACAGTATTATGTGACTTGGTTGCTGTTGTGATTGCTAGTGGCAGGCGTTCCTCTGAATGTCAGGATGAGAGAGGCCTGGAGATCTCGACCCAGACATGCCCTGTCAAAAAGGGTGAAAGCCTGTGCCTGTCTGTACGAGTCCAATATTCACCCAGACGATGTGCCCTTTCTCAAAGAGTAGGTCTAATCTTTCTCTCTCTTTTACTCCTTAGTCCTACTTCCCTTTAATTTCTCATGTCTTATCAACAGGTTTTTCTGTAATCTGTGCATTGGACCTCTGTGGTGTTCAGAAGACTTCTAGGCAATTAGAAGATGATCCATCTTAGTCCATTAATGAATGTTCATTAGTGCATCAGATTTTTTTTTTTCTCATATCATAGATGAAGCGTAAACTGATATCAGGCTCAAATTGTTTCAGGCTTGTATTTACATTAAATGGGCTGTGGTGTAATAGATGACCTAATATTTGATTTTGATAGTCTACATGTACACTCTGGTTCTCAAAGAACCTAATTTGAGTCCTCCAAGGGGTGAAGGCATCAGGAGAGTAGACACAGCGTGTACTCCCATCTGTACCGTCAGATTTCTTTTCTTGCCACAGGTGGCTGGAACGACAGTGCCTGAGCTAGACTGTCAAACTTGGCGCTTTAATTAGCAGATAGAAACAAAAATGAGATGTTTAGTGGTGTCATAAAATCTATAGGGTTCTGTATGCCTGTAGATTTTTTTTCATATAAGGA